GGGCGTTAGGTGGGGATGAGCGGGGAATGTGTGTGTTGGTGGGTGGGTGTATTTGAGAGGCAGGGAGGGAGAGATATCTTTTTTTGTTCTGTCTTACAGTGTCATGCTTTTGTATTGTTCGATTTTTTCCTTTCTCAACTTGTCTTCCACTTTCTTGTTTTTATTTTATTCTATCTCCTATTTTCTCATCTTTGTATTATCGCATCCTATTTTATTTTTTTTTGCTTTAATAATCTTATGCTATCCCCCATTTTTCTTTTTTTCTTAAATCTTCCCCACAGGACAAGAAGAGTTGTTGAGAGAGCTGCGACGTCCGTCCCCCGAGGCCCTGATGCTGCACAGAGACCTGGAGAAGACCAAGGAGAATCTGAGGCAGGAACAAGTCGTCTTTGAGCAGCAGAAGCAGCTGCTGGAGGCCAGACTGAAAGAGGAGGTACTTTCTCCTCTTTTTAATCAGTTTGATTGGTAAAAATGTTATGGCCTCGTACAGTGTAATCAATTCAATTTGTAAAAACCTTTAGGCCCAGCCTTATTGGACCCTTTCTCGTTCTACCCAGCCCCCACCCCCAAAAAGGAGAGAGCTTGTGTCAAACCCATCTGAAGCCAGCTACAAAAATTCAGCAGGAGATTCAACCTGGTGAAAAAAGCCAGGCATACCACTCGTTTCTGATTGGTGTTTTCTCAATGGTGGGCTTGGTACGATAAAAAAAAATGCAGCATTAACATTAACCCCTTCGTTGCTAGGGGTCTGTGTCCCTGCTTGGAGCACTGATTTTCAGTTAGGCTCCTTAACCAGGACGCCATTTTTGTGACGTACCAGGTATGTCGTAAGGCAATAAAGGGGTCAAGCTGTTGCCTGTTCTCATTCCTCTTGAGAAAAGTGTGTCAGAGTCATGGTCAGTTGTCAGAATTTACTTTCACCTCCGCTAAGCTCAAAAGAATTTGAATACTCATCTGGAAGGTTGCTAAATGTACAAGAAGTTGGAAAAAATGGGTAGCCAAGGTTATAAGAAAATGTAAAGGGGAAAGAATTAAAGTGTGTTCAGTTCATGCATACATTTGAACATGTAAGAAAAACAAATGACAAGAAAAGAATTACAGGTGCCTTGACATATTATATTTGTTCAAAACTATTTTTTTTAAGCATGTGGTACAGGTTCTGTTCTTATTTGACTTTCAACCCTTTTTATTTGATAAATATATAAAAACATAATTAGAGGGCCTCCATACGTTTTGTCGTTTTGTCAGTATAAAGAACAATTATTCTGATTTGTTGGCCCAGGATCAGTATCAAGGGTACAGAAAACCTGGAACGAAGTCCAAATTTCTTAACTCATTCGCTACATTCTATTTTCGGCTTGTGGACAAATTTTTTTTCGGGAGGGCGAATGAGATGACGACTAGTGGGCAGTTAACTGATTCCGTCCATGATTTTTTCAGGCTCTGGACAGAATTATTTTTCCCTGTTCAGTTTTAGACCTGGGTTGCATCTATTTAATGCATTACTGTGAAGCTCTAAGTTACTCGAATAGGTATTGTCATATACCAAAGTGATGGGAATCAATAGAGGAATCTGTTTATATCAATAACTATGACCTATAATCTGTTTGTATTGCGGTTTTCTTCAGACAAAAACGAATGAGAAAAAAAAATTGCGCTACAGCTCTTCGAAAATTTCGACTTACCGCATTTTCTCAGCTCTACAAGTCCCTATAATCCATAAGAATCAACACAAAATTGTAGTGCATTTATGCAAGAATTTCACAAATTTAGTTGAATATCTCTCTTTGAAGGGCCTTTTTATTATACCAGGCTCCGTGTTGTTTACCCTTAGATCTAGCCTACATAGCGACAACAAAACAACGATTTTTGCAAGAATTTCGTGGAGTTTCGATCGATATAGGCGCTCAGAGATTGAGGTCAGGTATGTTTACAAGTTCCACTTCCTTTCGACAACTTAAAAAGTAGGAACTATATTAAAAAGTGCACATTTGTTTCGGATTTGGTTGAGCCGCTCACAGCGGTGGAATGGAGACAGCGGAAAAACTCCGAGCCGCTGTCAGCGGCCGAATGGACGAAATCAGTTAAAAGGTCTTTGGGGCTACAAATTCAAATAAATATCAACGTATTATATACCAATATTTTCAGTTTGGTTTGTAGAATACATCTGTAATGTTTATTTTTGTATTTTTCAACTTTGGTTCCTGTAAGAGACGATTATGCAACACAATTTTGATTGGATGCGGATAAAATTTGAAAATAGAAAATTAATAAATCTTTGGTGAAACTCAAAAAATATGTTTGCACCTAGTCAAATGATACATCAAAATAACCATAAATGAATATAGAAATGGAATATATTGAAAAGTTTTCAGTTATTTACATACATTCCATAATATTTGTACATTTGGATCATAACATCCGATATTGAAAAAAATATATAAATTTTTATAATCTTGAAAAACGACCACAAACAGAAAAAGCTCACTTGTATCTTATATGGAATTATTAAGAATTGCATTTGGAATAAACATATACATGTCTTGAGTGGCACTTTTTTGTGTAATTTCATCAAACAGTAGTGATTTTGGGGAGAAAAAAATATTTTGACAATTTAGATCTAGACCTATATCTAGCACTTAAAAATATTGATTTCTCAATAACAGTGCATTGGCAATATGAGTCCAATCGTATCAATATTATAAAAAAGAGTCCTACATTTCTTTAGTGGGCAAAATAATGATAGATTTTGTTGTGTAAAATTACTAAGACTTGTGTCCGGGCTTTAATTTTGGCATCGCGATAAAACCAAGTCGAATAAACTACGAAATCGCGTTTCAAAACTGAATCTAAATTTCCGATTTTCAGTTGAAATGCTTGACCCGGAAGTCATCATTATATTATGACCTTTATTTTAACATGGATATGTGGATTGGAATAGAATCTAAGCTAAAATTGAAGATCGGTTGTCGACTGACTGCACTTTAGCCGCGCTGCCCCTCACGGCTCGGCGTAGCGAATGAGTTAATGTTAGCATAAGCTAGTATTGATCCCAAAAGCCCAAATATTAGCATAGGTTGTTATGAACCCAAAAACCCAAAGACAAGGGAAGATAGGACAGGACGAGAAAAGAATAAACATGATTTTATCTAACAAGCCAAGACATGATAAGATAAGACTAGACAGGAAAAAGTGTTTTAGTGTATGATGAGATAAGATAAGGAAAGACGAGACAATATAGGAGAAGACAGGATAAGATCGGGCAAGTGGAGACCAAACTTTATATGAATAAGAAGAGACAAGAAAAAAACAACAAGACATGACAAGATAACATTTGATGAGACAAGATAGGATAAAACTGTTGAAGACACACAGTTGTTTATGGTGACTTTACCTTTTGTCTGTTCATTGTTTTTTGTTCCATTCTTATAATCTCCAAAATGATATAGTGTGTTTAAAAAAATAATTTTTTGTGTTTGTTTCAGCTTGATCGTAACAAGGACTTACTTCAAAGGTTTGAGGAACAGACATTGCAAATGAGAGAGATGAATAGAGAAATTGTAGACCTTCGTCAGAATTTGCACATGACCACAAGAGGTAAGCTTGGTAAATGCAAGTGCAAGTAAGAGGGAAATGTTTGTAAATTATATCAAATAGTATTCTTTGCCTTTATTGTTGCATTTTGCATACCTCCTCAAGCTCCTTTCTAAAAGAGCTTTATATTGAAAATTGCTGGAAATGTTTATATGATTGATTATGTAGAAAAACTTCTGTGGCAGAATAGGTTGATAAAAAGAGTAAACCCTTTGATGTTATGACGAAAGGTTAATTGAAAAGTGCATCTGAAGGATTTAATTTGTAAATAAAATAATGCAATTACCAATGCATTTAAAATGTTTATCTTTTTTCTTTTCATGCTGTTGCCAGCCCTGAATACTGAAGTTTACAGAAAGCCAGCGGATGAGACTGACGGGTAAGATTTGCTTTTGTTGGATAATGAAAATTCTTTTATTCGCTTTAGTACTATTATGATAAACTCTTTGCTTCCTACACTATATTTCTATAGCTGTCAACGTGAAGCAAAGTATTGTCGTCCACGGGTTAATTAATTAGTTTGAACAATGTGAAGTTGCTGCCTTAGAATTGCAAATTTCTATCTGACATTTTTGGCCGTTTTGAATTACAAAGACCATGAGGTCAGAATCCAAACGTTCCATCTGCTATTTCAAAATGGTGAGATTTTTCTGAGTTGTTATCAAGATATTCAAAGAACTGCAATCGAAAAAGCTTGACATGTTGTGAAACTCAAAGTTTTTAGCGTTCAACTTCTCAAAACTAGGTACTGAGCTGATAGAACTTTGTAGTTTTAGGGTAACCGAGTGTCAATTGGTCCTCTGTCAGCTTCCGGGTAGGTACTGTACTGTTCTGGTCCTAGCAAATGAGGACGACAGTAGGTTATTCCGATTCTGCATGGGTATGTGTGTGTGTGTGTGGGGGGGGGTTTGCTGTTATTTTGGAAAGCTTG